ATAATAATAATAATAATACTAATAATAGAAGATGTTCTACTTAATAATCACGGCAGGAAGAAATTAATGTAATGTTTGTAGCTAGTTGAAAATGAAAAGTTTTTTAGCTGGTCATCAGTATGTTTATTTTTGAAAGATTTTTTCCTTGTTTATTATTTATGAACTTTTTAGTTTTTGTTATTCCTTTATGAAATTTGTATACTTCCTAACTTTTTTCTAATGTTTTCAGAGCATCCAATTGTTGTCTGTATTTGTTAGTCAGTTTGTTTGTTTGTTCAAAATGAAAAAAAACATATGTATGTATATTACTGAGGAAGCTCTTCATTTTCTTGTTTTTGAAATTTCATAAAATGAAAAAAAAACGGACAAATTGTAACAAATCACTGGAAAGTTCGATTTTCTTTTTGTTGGCATTGTTTACTTAAACATTTCTGTCATTTTTTTTTTGTTTTATACACACATCATGAAAAATAAAATATGTATCCATTTCTTGAAGACCGGCAATATTATGCAGTAAATGTGTCGGACAATAACAAAATGTTATAATTTACTGAAAGTGGGGATTACTTTTCCCTCAAATACAGGTTGATTTTATGGGAATTTTGGTGATGCTTTTTCAGTGAATTCCTACCTTAAGTGATTTTTTTTCATCTGATAAAATGTTGAGGAACTATCCTGGAATTTAACTTAATCTCGCAAATAAGTAGCATGCAGCAAATCTGTTATGTTTGATACATTCATACAGCTCATAATTTTGATTGATGAATTTGCTATCCAATCAATCTTCAATTCAAATCACGGGATATATTTATTCAAGGCAAAAGTACAAATGATGAGCCTCCGATGTGATGATCATTTCGAAACGTTTTTTATTCCGAAACGTCTGTCCTTATTCGGAAACTTCTTTTGTTCCGAAATGTCTGTCCTTATTCGGAAACTTTCGAGACGTCTGTTCTAATTTCGAAACCCTGTCCTTATTCCGAAACATCTGTTCTTATTCGGAAACTTTTTTTATTCCGAAATGTCTAGTGTTCCGAAACGTGATTTATTCCAAAACATTCGAAACGTCTGTTATTAGTCCGAAATATTTAAGTTAGTACTGTATCACAATAGTTCGTTAGAAATGAAACAAAGATAATGAATGAGCTTAATTACCTGACAGACAGTCTGATATTTTCATAGCATAATCGAATGAATTCTTTTTGTGCATCATTATTACATTCAAATGATAAGCATAGAACTGTTATTATTTCATTTAATTAACGATTAGCATGAAGTTTTGAATAACATGAAATAATAATGGCGTTATTTTTCTAGATCAATATATAGCTCGTATTTGAGTTCTGATGTATGCAGATTTTATATAATAATCTTTTTCTTTGCTATATCAACCGATCTTCATTATTTAATGATATATTAACGAGTCTTAATTGATTTAATAATTTTATAGAAACTTATGAATAATTTATTGCCTAAATTTTAGATGATGGAAGGAGATTTCAATGCCGAAAAATTTAATGATGTAACCCAGAATTTGTACTTTTTAAGCGAATCAATGCTATCAGAGATGATCGATACTGCAAGAGTACATGCTCAATCGATGTTTGATTGTGTAAGTTAAAATTAATCAATCAAAAGTGTATCATTATGTAATTGCTTGAAATTCATTTTTTTTTTTATAGTTCTTTTATAGTTTAATTTTTCTTCGATTTTTTCTTATTGATATTAGATGATTGTTTCGAAATTTTTGCTTACTGAATAGATTAAAAAAGAAATTTACAAAGAAACTGGAAAAGTCATGAATTTAATCAGATTGCATTAGATTTCTTTCATAGAATCCCGCTGTATTCTTTACTCGATGCTAATCTATTTAGCAAGCAGTAATAAGAAATAATTCAGATTAGATGATATTGAAATGAATGATTAATGGTATTATTGTAAGCATATTCCACATTGTTGTTTCTGTTTTCAGGAGGATCATTTATTGCAACTAATTTCATTCATCGATTTAACTACTCTAAACAGCGATGATACGAATGATGTGGTCGAGCGGCTTATTGATAAAGCTGTTTTACCGTATCCTACGGTTTGTTAATTGTTAGGAAGTTTGAAATCCTTCTCGTATAAGGAGAAAGAGACTTGAAGCAAATGCTATTACAACGAAAGTTTCGTGAACAGTTCAATTTTTAAGATTTCAGTTACAATTTAGACAATGGGCTAATGGAAACGAAAAGGAGGTCTGTTTTGCATTAGATATGACTCTGTTAAGACTCAGATGTACAAGTCGTTAGATATAAAATTTCCAGTGTTATTAAATTCAAATTATCAATCATCAGTAACGTAAATTAAATCGATTTTAGTGAATATAGAATTCGCATGTTACTGATAATTCAATAAATTCATTTAAGGAGCCGGAAGCGGAATGTGCTGCCATTTGTGTTTATCCAGCAAGAATTACGGGTGCTAAACGTTATCTGCATTCAAAGTATGATCAACAGCAATCGTTAGCTATATGTTCAGGTATCACAAGTTTTCTGATATCTCAAGATAAGGCGTAATCCCATCAAGTCATATATTTTTGTTCATATGATTATCGATTGGTTATTCTGATAAGTGCAAAATCTAGCAGTATTGGTAAGTTGTTTCAGTAGCAGCAGGTTTCCCGTCGGGACAATATCGAATGGAATCGAAAATATTGGAAGTGAAATTGGCAGTAGAAGATGGAGCTAATGAAATTGATATTGTTATCAGTCGTGATGCTGTGATAGAACAAGATTGGAAACGTGTGTATTGCTTTCAGGACTTCATTAATTAAGTGTAAATCAGTCCAAGTCGAGTTTCACATATGCTTTAAATTAATCCACATTGAGTTTTAGGATTTTTAGTTTGTTTGCTTCGAATATCACAGATGAAACTCTTTATATGCATTGCAAAGTAGAAACATAAAAGAAGGACGAATAATATAGTTTGTAATTGGCAATTTTAATTAAGAAAAGTATACAAAGTATACAAAAGCATTGTGCTTCAAGTCTGTACTTCAAATATATTCAAATTGTGTCATTTTAGTTAGAAATACCTATTTTCCCATTCTTAGTTTCTTTAGTCTATTGTTTTGATTCTGAAGAAGCAAACTATATTTCTTTGAGAAAATTATTGTTTGTGTCTCGCATATTCCTTCTATATAACTTATTATTTTCTATATAATTTATCATCTTTGGATAGTTTTGCTATTAAACTAAATACTCATGGGTATCATACTGCTCAGCAGTTCCAATTTCAGGATGATTATCAACATTAACTTTGATCAATTAATGGAATAGGGTAGCAGGAAATATAGTATTATGAACTTTCTTTAGGAGATTGATGCACGATTACACGCATGAGCATCTGCAATTTATAGGTGTATATGATGAAGTAGCTGCATTGAAGGCACATTGTGGTTCGAATTGCATGAA